GGGGCAGAGGGGCTGTAAGAGGTCAGTGGGGGGGGGGGAGGGGACATATGTAATAGTTTCAACAATAAAGAATTATATTTAAGAAAAAGAGTTGCAAGTACAGAGTTCCCATATGATTGAACATTTATATTGTTTTCTTGTATCTTTTTGAAGGTGAGAAAACTAAGACCCAGTGACTCAAGAAGTGACTTGTCCAAAGTCAACTGGCTAAAAAGTGAGCAGAAATGAGTTTAGAATCCTGGTGTATCTCTCCAGAACCCACTCAGTTTTATGCAACTGAGCTGTCTCTGGATTAATAATACACCATTAACCACACCCTTCAGTGATGCTGAACCTTTTGAGCTCGGTGTGTCAGCATTTTGAAAAACCCTAACTTAACTCTGGTGCCGTGTCATATATAGAAATTTTTTGATATTTGCAACCATAGTGAAACAAAGACTTATATTTTTGATATTTATTTTATATATTTAAATGCCATTTAACAAAAAAAATCAACCAAAAAAAATGAGTTCGCGTGTCACCTTTGACACACATGTCATAGGTTCGCCATCACTGCCCTAGATTGTCTCTCCTCAACTTGACACCAGGTATTCTCCACAATCAGAGTGGCCAAAGATCCAAGCACGTGTTGAGAAGGGCAGGAAATATACAAAAAGGTATCCCAACTGAGATGGAACAAATTGAAAATGCAAAGAGAGAAACAGGGGCATATAAATAAGCAGAAGGTGGAGGAAGAGTACACAAAATACTGGTTAAGAGAAAGAGAAAGCTGGGTTTGAGAAACTGGGAAAACTCTTGGTTTTATCTCCGTGTATAAGGAGAGAGCAAAGATAATCTCAAGGCCATGTGGGGAGTCAGGAAGGATAAGGTTTCTGGCAAAGTAAATGAGACAAGGGAGGATAAAACTCCCTGTAAGGCTTAGTGTGGGAAAGAAGAAAGGCCCAAAGCAAAGAGGCAGACTGGAGTAGGCACTGGGCACCAAACGTTGTTTCTAAATCTGTGGCAGGACTCCTTCTAGCCTGAGCCTCCACCAGTACCTCAGATACTAAGGAGTCTTCAGCCCTAGGAGTAGGAGGAGCAAAGTTGGGAGCGGGGATTGTAAAGTGCTCAAACTATAATGAAGACTGAAAATGGATCCTGGCACATATTTTTTAAAGCTAGTAGGCCCAATGCTAGTGCCCCTTCCCCCAACTCCACTTATCCAGCTTCAACCTCAGCCACACCCACATTCTAAGGACCATCCAGGAGGGGAGCATATGTGCGCGTGCGCGTGGGTGCTCGTGCGTGTGGGTGCTCGTGCGTGTGAGAGGCTGAGGGATAGAGACTTAAGACAAAAAGAGACTGGGAGAGAGAGAGTATGCGCCTGGGAGAGGGAGAGGGGAGTAGGGGGAGGAGAGGGAGAAGGGGGTGGGGGGAAGAAACAGGTCGACCAGGACGGAATGAAAGGGAGGGAGAGAGAGACTGAGATGAGAGAGAGAGAGAGAGAGAGAGAGAGAGAGAGAGAGAGAGAGAGCACAGAGAGAGAGAGAGAGAGAGAGAGAAACAAGGAAGAAGAGCTACGGTCCTCCCATGAGGAAACCTACTGAAGAGATAACGCAGGGAGCCCCCTG